CTTCCTTTTAGTGAAGGAGATTTTCTCAGGTGGTGTGTTTTCTTACCTTTTAATTTTGGGTATCTGTTGTATTTCTTTTTCGAGGTTACCATGAGGCTTAGAAATAATATATAAGCAAACAAGTAAACTAACAAGCAAAGAGAAAACTAATAAAGACTACACTTTATCCTGTGTATGTCTTGAAAAGTTTTGTCTAGTAGTATGTTTGATAGGTCCTTGTTTAGACATACTCAACATATGAGTAGTTTACACATCACAATTACAATATTACAATATGCTGTGTTTATATACTTAATATTTGCTAGTGAGTTTTGTACCTTCAGATCATTTTTTCATTGCTCAATAATGTCCTTTACCGTCAGATTGAAGAACTCCCTTTATCATACCTTGTTGGACAGGTTTGATGTTGAAAACCCTCACTTTTGTTTGTCTGGGGAAGTTTTTATTTCTGCTTCATGTTTGAAGGATGTTTTCACCACATATACTATTCTGGAATAAAAGTGGTTTCTTTTTCTCCAGCACTTTAAATATGTCATGCCTTTCTCTCCTGGCCTGTAAGGTTTCCCCTGAAAAGACCTATCCAAATGTGTTGGAGCTTCTTTGTATGTTGTTTCTTTTATCTTGCTGCTTTTAGTATTCTTTTTTTATCCCTGACCTTTAGGGATTTGATTCTTAAATATCTTAGGATAGTCTTACCTGGGTTAAATCTGTTTGGTTTTCTATAACATTCTTGTAATAGGATATTGATATTTTTCTTTAGGTGCAGAAAGTTCTCTATTATTTTCCCTTTTATAAACTTTCTGCTGCAATCTCTCTTTCCCTCTCTACCTCTTTCAGCAACTCTTAGATCCGAGGCTATTTTCTAGACCTTGTAGGCACACTTCATTCTTTGTTGTTCCTTTTATTTTTGGGTCCTACAGCTGTGAATTTTCAAGTAGCTTACACTCAAGCTCACTGATTCTTTCTTCTACTTGATCAATTCTGTTATTGAGAGATTTTGATGCTTTCTTCAGTATAACTGTTGCATTTTTAAGCTCCAGAATTTGCTGAATTCTTATTAATTATTTCAATCTCTTTATTAAATTTATCAATAGGACTCTGAGATTTTTCTCTGCATCATTGAGCTTTCTCAAAACAGCTATTTGGAATTCTCTATCTGAAAGGTCACATATCTCTATCTCCCCAGGATTTGTCATTGGAGTCTTATTTAGTTCATTTGATGAGATCATATTTTCCTGGATGCTCTGAATGCTTGTAGGTGTTCATTGGTGTCTGCACATTATGGAGTTAGGTATTTATTATAGTTCTTACAGTCTGAGCTTGTTTGTAACTGTCCTCCTTGGGAAGGCTTTCCAGGTCTTTCAAGGGACTTAAGTATTGTGATTTAAGTTTGTGCCACTGAAGCTATATCTGCATTAGGGTGCACCCTAAGCCCAGTAATGCTATGGCTCTTGCAGACTGACAGAGGTACCACCTTGGTGATCTTCAGTAAGATCTAGAAGAATTCCTGAGATTACCAGGCAGAGACTCTTGTTATTTTCCCTTGCTTTCTCCCAAACAAATGAAGTCTCTCTCTGCTGAGCTGCCTAGAGCTGGAAGGACAGATGACACAAACACCATTGTGGACATCACCACTGGGACTTCACTGGATCAGATACAAAACCAGCACAGCACTGGGTGTTGCTCAAATCCCACAATGACCATTGCATTGCTACCACCGAGGCTAACTCAAGGTCCAAGGGCTCTTTAGTCAGCTTGTGGCAAATGCTGCCATTCTTGAGCCTCTCCCTTCAGGACAATGGGCTCCTCTTTGGCCCAGGGTAGGTCCACAAATGCCATCCAGGAAATTGAGAGCCCCGGAAGCCCTCTTAGTGCTCTACCCAACTGTAGCTGAGCTAGTACCCAAGAGGTAAAACAAACTCCCCTTTACTCTTCCCTATCCTTTCTTCCTCTAGCCACCACAGCTGGAAATGTGCTGGTTCACACCTGAAGCCAGTACAGCTCTGGGTCTCACCCAAGGCCTGCAGCAAGTACTGCCTGGCTATCACTGCTGGTTATTCAGGGCTCAGGGGCTCTTTAGATAGTAGGTGATGAATTCTGTCAAGACTGGGTTTTTCATTTCAAGGTTTCCTCCTGGCCCAGGATGTGTTCAGAAATGTCATCTGGTAGCTAGGCCCTGGAATGGGGACTTCAGGACTCTTTCTGATCCCCTATTCTACTGTGGCTGAGTTGGTATCCAAGTTGCAAGACAGATCTTCCTTCCTGTCTCATAAAACAGGGAGAAGGAGTCTCTCTGGTAGCTGTAAGTTGTGCTGCCTTGGGTTGGGTGAGGGGTGATGCAAGCACTCCCTTGGACACCCCAGCTGGTATCTCACTAGTTCATGTGCACCCCAAGTCCACTGACCATAAGCCCAGCATAGCACCAGTCCTTGCTCAGGAATTACAGGCCTTGTGGCTTCACTGCTTTATAAGTTTGTTAAGAACCCCAGGCCAACTTGGCCCATGGTGGCAGGGCTTGCCAGAACTCAGATTCCTACCTCTGGATGGATGCTGGCTGAGTTCTGACCTGTTTTGCTTTCCACTGTGACATGGAAGCAGAATTCCAATGCAGTCACACAATCAGTGCACTCTCCCTCCTTTGAGTGCACTGATTCTCTCTCTGCAAAATGTGACCACAGATGGGGAGTGGAAGGGCATGGTGTAGGCCATTTAATACTTTCTTTTGTAACCTCTTCAGTGCCTCTTTCCTTAACATGATATTAAAACCAGGTACTGTGATCACTCACCTGACCTTTGGTTGTTATGAAGATGCTGTTTTGTGTGGATAGTTGTTCAATTTGATGTTCATGCAGGGTTGGGGGACAATCACTGGAGGTTTCTCTTCAGCATCTTGCTCCACCTTCGTCCCCCTAATCTGCCTTGTTTCTGATAAGAAGTCATTGGCTATCTAATTTTGATTCTCTTGTATGTAAGAGGTCATTTTTCTCTTGACGATTTCAAGATTTTATCTTTGCCTTTGGCTTTTTCTGGTTGAGTATGATATGTCTAAGTTTGGTTCTCTTTTTGTTTATCCTGTGTGGAGTTTATTGAGCTTTTTGAATGTGTAGATTAATTTTTATCAATTTTGGGATATTTCAGCCAATATTTCTTCAAATGATTTTGTGCCCTTTTCTTTTTCTCCTCTCATTCTGAAACTCCCATTACATGTATATTGATACACCTAATGCTTTCCCAAGGTCTCTGAGATTGTGTTAACTTGTTTGCATTGTTTTTATTTTCATTTTTCAGCTTTAATTATCTCTTGGTATATCTTTGGATTTTCAATTCTTTCTTTTGCTGGCTCCAGTTTGCTGTTGAGTCTCTCTAATGATTTTTGAAATTTAAGTTATTAGGGTTTTCAATACCAGAATTTCCATTCTCAAGGTGAGTAGTTGTTATAACACTTTTTAATTTTTATTTAATGTGATTTCCTTTAGTTCATTGAACACTTTTTATAACAGTTGTTTGAATTTTTGTCTTCTATCACCAAAATCTAGATTTTTAAAGAAACTATTGCTTTTGATTGACTTTTTCTATATATATGGGTCACATTTTTCTGTGTCTTTGTCTATTTAATAACTTTTTTTAAGTGGCCTGCATGGTGGCTCACGACTGTAATCTCAGCACTTATGAAGCCAAGGTGGGCAGATCATTTGAGGTCAGGAGTTCAAGACCAGCCTGGCCAACATGGCAAAACTCTATCTCTACTAAAATTACAAAAATTAGCCAGGCATGGTGGCATGCACATGTAATCCTCGCTACTCAGGAGGCTGAGGCAGAAGAATAACTTGAACCTAGCAGTCAGAAGTTGCAGTGAGCTGAGATCATGCCACTCTACTCCAGCCTGGGCAACAGAGCAAAATGCTGTCTCAAATAATAATAATAATAATAATTTTTCTTAAGAATTGGTCATTTTAGATTATATATACAAGCAACTCTGGATTCTGAATCCCCCTCAGGAATTGTTATAGTTTTTTTTTTTTCATTTGTTTAGTGACATTTTTGGAATTCTGTAGTGTATAGCTACTGATATCTCTGTTCAGTGCTTTTCTTATTGTTATTATCCTCATTTTTATTCTTAAACTTGGATTTCATGGGGTCACCCCTGGGTCCATATAGCCAATTGTTCAGTTAGTTGTTGGTCAGAAGTTATGCTTGATTACCTTAAGCTATTAAACCTTGCAATCTTTGCTGATGATGTTGGGAGAATGCAAACAAGTTTACATAAACAGTGTTTAGGTGACTTTCAGGTGTTCCCAAGCTTTGCCTTTGTGTGAATACAAGTTTCAGTTCGGTCCAGGTAGTCATCCTCTCTGGTCTCTCCTCACCATGTATGTAGCCTTTCTGACTACCAGGAATATATGGCACATACCTAGTTCTTCTATACCTAACTTACTCCCCAACTCTTCCTGTAAAGTTTCTAGATGATCTGCTGATCTATGTATGCCCCATGTGTTTCACAATCTCAGAGTAGCTGCAATGTTAGCTTTCCCTGATTTTTGTGGCCAAGGTCAAATTGTTTTTGATAACACTTTCAACAGTGAGTTTTTTCATGCTCCAAATCAAGTCCTCTCTCCAGCAGAGGACCATTGCCTTCACAGTCTATCTTGACCTGGTAGAACTAGAGTACTACAAATCTGGGGATCATTTGAGTTGCCCCAGGCTTCAGTGCCACATACAGCGCTTACAGTGAGTCATTTTTCTTGAATAAATACTTCTCTGCTCGTTTTCATGCATTTTGAAAATTTCCAAACTTTTTTGGAAAATTTAGTCGTTTTTTTTTTTTTTAAGATTTAGTCATTGTATTTTGGGAAAAGATTTTTCAGAGTTCCTCATTCAGATATTTTAGAAGTCCCAGCTCTAAATATTAACTTTAATAAATTTGAACATAGAAGCTGGTCTTTTCTCAATGTCTCTGCATTGAGGAAAATTAGTCACCCAGTTTTCTCATTGACCTTTATAATTATCGCTTCTAGAAATATGTAAAGATCGCTCTGGACTGTTTATTCTTTATTTTTTACCTTAGATGTCTCGCATTGGATCATCTGGGATTTCAATGTGTAACAATTTTGTTCGATTGAGGCTGTGGAGAAGCAGCTTTCTCAACAAATGGGGAAATGGCTGCCTGAAAATAAACCCAACACTAGAGGTATTATAAATGAATTATAGTTTCTAGTTGGATAGATACATAGTGACCAAGGCATAGCACAGTGTTTGAGACTAAGTCCAGTCACATGCAAAGCCAGACCTGGACATCTTAGGAAAGTTGGCCAGTAAGTTCCTGTATTAGTCTGTTTTCGCACTGCTGATAAAGACATAACCATAACTGAGAAATTTAGAAAATAAAGAGGTTTAATGGACTTATACTTCCGCTTGGCTAGAGACGCCTCACATTTATGACAGAAGATGAAAGGTATGTCTCACATGGTGGCAGACAAGAAGAGAGCTTGTGCAGGGAAACCCCTGTTTCTAAAACCATCAGATCTCATGAGACTTATTCAGTATCATGAGAATAGCATGGGAAAGACCTACCTTCATGGTTCAGTTATGTCCCACCAGTTCCCTCCCACAACATGAGATTTGTGGGGGACACAGGCAAACCATATCAGTTCCTTTATGTTGCAAGCTAGCATGATCTGTAAAGGCTAGATTTCTATCACTTGCAGTTTTAAAAAATCCTGATCTATTTTATATATACATATATATATATATATATCACACACACACACATAATAATATATACCACTTTTTAATGTATCACAGTTTTAATTTTATATTCATATCTGTGATAATGTTTTCCTCTCTCAAACAATAATCTCCAAGGAGAAAAATATGTGTTTTATCCAACATGCCTATTTCTATTAAATATTTATTATTTTTTCTATCCAGCTTCCAGTAACCACTGCCTAGTTTACTGAATGATGCACTATGCCATCTTGCACAGAGTCTATGGAAACTGAAAGAGGCTGAGGCAAATTCTTTTCCGGCCCTCCAAAACTCAGGGTGAAACAGGTGACCTAGGTTTGGCAAATTAGACATTTGCATTCTCACCTTTGAATTTTGCTTTAATAACACAGAAACAAAGGGAGGGTTAGAATCTATTTCACAGCATCAACAATGACGTTTCTTATGCATTGCAACATCATTTTGACCAAAATCTTATTGTTTACATGTTAGCTCTTGAGCAACCTTGGTTAATCTGATTATCTTTCAGTCTCACTTCTGCAACTTCAAGTTTGTTTATTCTGGGTGCCCCTGCTGCACTTCTGGAAAATTTCCTTTTTGTCTTAGACCGACGAAGTTTGTTAGCGTTGTCTACCTCTAGAAAACCTGACTGATAAATCAAAGAAAATTCTGTGATTAGCACAGAATATTCAGTCAATAAGTAATTATTAGAGTTTTGATAAAGATAATGATTTGGGGGAGAAAATATGTTCTATTTGGCTGGATTTTTTTCTTTGCACTGAATTCAATTCTGTAAATATGTATGAAAAAGCACTGTAATAAGCTCTCTGAAGTATACAGACATGAGTACCACACAGCAATTTATTTCAAAATGTTTATGTTATAATTAAAGACTTCTAAGAGTGAAATTAAAGGGATAAAAGATAAGGCAACTACTGGTTAATTTTTCATAGAATTCTATTTTTGCCAGAATTATGAATAATCAGAAGTGTGATACCTGTAAAGGCTCATCTGAAAGTATTTACTGAGAATCTCCTGGTTGCTAGGCACAGACTAGAGGCTAAAGATACAGCACAGTGCAGGATAGGCAAACTCATGCTTTACATAACTTTTATTCTGATATTATACTTATTTTTCAAAGATACAAGTTAAATATATGAAATATTATGAAAACCACTTTAAATGACAACAAATTTGGGAAAACATTGGCAACTCTTTATGTGAGTTGTAATGAGTAACACCTTTAATATATAAATAAAATTCAGAGATTCAAGAAATGCTAATTCTCAAATTGAAAATGAGCATTACCCATAATTTATAGAACTATGAATTCCTAATACCTACTTGATATCTCATTAGCAATCCCATAATAATAAAAGAAGAGATAATTTTTATTTACCTGATTAGCAATAACTTTTAGGTCATAGTAATGATTTTGTGGTCAGACCAGCATTGTCAGACATTATGTTGGTAAGAACTTTGGTAACATTTTTCTGTGCAGCACACATAACATATTTCTGTTCAACATATCGCAGTCCTTAAATTTTGCTTTAATGTAATAATTCTAGTTCTGAAAATGTGTTCTAATACAATTGGAGCAAAGTTTGCATACCAACATGTAATGAGAACAAAATGGAAAACCTGGAAAACAAACAAACAAAACTCCAAATATCGAATGTTATACCTTTTCCTGGAGTTATCCCAGAATGTTTTTCTTCCTTCTCAGAGTGCTATAGGTCTAGTTCCTTGCTTTATTCTCACTTTGTCCAAAATTATGGGTTCATACCGTAGTGTTAGTCTACAAGTTTTCCTACATTGAAAATGACTTGCATTCTAATTTATGTTTATGCTAATTATCAAATCAGTGTCTTCCCCTTCTTCTGACACATTAAAACTCATTCCAAACACTGCAAACTTCTTTTGAGTGGGTTCTCTAGTCTCTTGTTATTTGATTGTGAATTCAAGGATACACAGATTGTTCAAAAAGTACTGTAGAAAGAACAAAGTACTGTTACTTAAGACAGCACCAGTTCAATGTTATAAAAGTCGTACCTTTCACTTACCCTTATTTTGTAAAAGCTAGTCACTAGTTCAGTGGTGTTAACATGTTTAATAGGGAACTGAAATTATTGTATATCAGGAAAAGGTTTACGGTCCTTTTCCTTAAAATAGCTGTTTTCCAGAAAGTGCAGTAATGATTCTAATAACTATAAAAATTTGTAGGGCTTAAAAATCCTTAGCTCTTCCTTTTCTGCTTGGTAAATGTCATTTTGTCCTTTTTTTGGTGAAAATAAAAATGTTAAGAAATAATGTGCACAATATAAAATGTAGAAGCAGTTTTTATTCATTATGTGTGAAGCAAGAGACAGGAAATTGAGTCAAAGAATAAAAAATGTTACACAGGAAATATAAGGTCAGCTGCATCAAGGGCTGTTTCTTACAGCATGGTACCTTTATTAAGTATTCTAAATTCGTTCAACCGTGGTACAATGGAGATGTTTCTTTAAGTAAATATTAATAGCATTCTTATTCACTTTACAATTCAAAAATCATGAAATTACTCAGGAGTTCTAGCTGTGCCATGAAATGACTTTTATTCCTTTTATCTTTTTCTTAATATAACGGTTTCCGCAATCACTAAGAATCTGGATGTCCCACACTAGAAATGAAGAGCTCTGCATTGTGTGTGTGAAGTGAAGGCTCAGCAGTTACAGGCTGTTCCCCCACCAATGTTCCAGTCTTTTCACATCACCTTCCTTTATCCTTTTCACTACTCTTCTCTATTTACGAATGTGTCAGCCATTTTACAATTATTATCTTATTTGATCAACCCATTTTGTAGGTATGCAATCTGAGGCTCAGAAAGCTCACAGACTGGATTCAAAGTTATATGCATAATAAATGATATAACATAGGTTTTTCGGACTCAAAGTTCTACTCTTTTAGTGTGACCAGAAGGAAATCTTTTTTTTTTTTTTTTGAGACAGAGTTTCGCTCTTATTACCCAGGCTGGAATGCAATGGCACGATCTCGGCTCGCCGCAACCTCCGCCTCCTGGGTTCAGGCAATTCTCCTGCCTCAGCCTCCTGAGTAGCTGGGATTACAGGCACAAGCCACCATGCCCAGCTAATTTTTTGTATTTTTAGTAGAGGGGGGTTTCACCATGTTGACCAGGATGGTCTCGGTCTCCTGACCTCGTGATCCACCCGCCTTGGCCTCCCAAAGTGCTGGGATTACAGGCGTCAGCCACCGCGCCCAGCCCTGGAAATCATTTTTATGATTAAGTGTTCAATGGCTTAGTGTTGCAATGGATTCCATCGCACTGGTGTTAGAGCAAACATTTAATTGCAAATAAACCAGGTGATTTTCCTTTAGAATAGATTCTGTGGAAGGTGAAAACACAAAAGCATATTAGGATTCACAGAAATTTTCAAAGACTGCAAATATTGGCTCATGAACAAAGCAAATCTGTTGTCAAGTGAATACCTGGGAAAATTAATTAAATCAAGTTAGCTATCAATGAGGTTAAGCTTGATATGTGTTCAATATAGTGTTTATTGAAAGAAAAGCAGCCTCAAACACAGAAAGATTCTGACAAATGTAAAACAGAGAAATCAGGGTCGGTTAAATTACTGTGCATCTCCAAAAGACACTTTGTCTAGCTATTTATATGCAAATTGAGCAAACTTTCTGTACCAAAAAGCCATTGTAATTAAAACACTAGTTATTTAAAATGCTGACTGTAATATTTAGTTTACAAAACATACTCTAAAAATATTTTCTTTTAAAGGTTCACAAAGCAGACTACCTGAGATTCATATTTCCCCCATTTTTGCCCAGTAAGTTTTAAATTCAAGACTTCCTGGAAATGTGTAACGAATGTCAATAAAATTTGCCAGCACTGTAGTATCAAAGTGCTCTCTTGATTTACAAAGCAAACCCACATTCTCAAACTGTAGGGCTTATGAGAATTACCAAAAAAACTTCAAAAAGCCCGCAGATTCCTCCCGATAAGAAGATTTTGATCCAGTAGAAGTTTCAGGCCAAGGTATCTGCAGTTTAACACATGTCACAGGTGATTCTGATGAAAGTGGTCCTGGAACATATTTTCTATCACTCTGCTTTATAAAATGCTGGCTGTTTTATGAAATATTAACTTAAGTGGCTCTTCCTTTCACATTCTTAGCATCCTTGGCAGTTCTTCAATGTCATCTCAATCTTTGCAGTGACGATTTCATCCAGTGGCCAAATTTTCAATTAAACACAATTCTACTCAAATTTGAATCACACGCACCGTTTACCACAGCTGCTAAACCTGTTGGTTAAATAACTTTGATGTTTCACTCCAGAGTGTCTCATTTTTGTGATGAATTAAGAGGTCCCTATAAAGTAGCCTTATCTACCTGTTTCTTTCTTTTTTTTTTCTTTTAAAGATGGGGTTTCACCATGTTGGTCAGGATGGTCTTGAACTCCTGACCTCAGGTGATTCACCCACCTTAGCCTCCAAGGTGCTTGGATTACAGGCGTGAGCCATCTACCTGTTTCTATTTCTCATGGGTGTTTCAAGAGTATATGATTCTCAGATGCTGAGATTGAAAAGAAAAGCAAACAAAGCCTCAAGATGGGCAAATTAACTGGCTACTTTGGCAGAACAAGCAAAGTTGCATTCCATCACAGGGTAGTGACTGATCATCTAATTCTCCAAATCGTAAGTTAAGGGTTTCAATTTTGTTAGAATGGCTTAAATTCAGGAGGTAGATGGAAAGTTATTCCATAGCAACAACAAAAACAACAGCAACCAAGAAACAATTGTAATTAAAAATATCCACAAAAATATGCCTCAAGAATTAATGGGTACTGTGTAAGGCATTCTAATAACCACAACATATGAATTTTATCACTAATTTTAAGTTCAAGACTTCTGTACAAGGTACATAATAACATTATATATATATTTGGTGAATAAAAAACTAGATTAACTAGATATCCAAGAAACTAGTGGGTGAACTAGAATGCAAATTTGCAAATGTGCCATGAGAACTCTAACTAACAAAGTGACCCAAGAGTACCCTCTTTCACTAAATCAACCTACACAGGAAATAAAATTAATCAGAGCAAGGAGAGTGGCTAGTTGAATGAACCTGATAGTTAATGGCATCAAACTATGATGGCCTGAGGCATTCATGGAGAGTGCTGGGGAAATGCTGACAAATTTTTCTCAGACTCCCATTTCTTTACACTCAGGCTAACTATCTTCAGGAATGTTAACATAATTGATTCACATATATTTCTTTCATATCAATTCCATCTTGTTACGTGCTTCTGACTGAACCCTCACTGCAGTCACCTTGATTAGGTGGACCTTGCTTAAATCTCCTCCAGGATACACTGAGAGACCATTTCACAGGATGAGGTACTTTCGAATGACTAATATACTACATTACTTATTGGGTCTTACTAGTATGGTTCTCAGGGATTAATATATTGATATTTTAAAAGCCTCTCACTTATGCCCATCTACTTATTACATCAGAAACCAAACAATGTAATAAGTACCCTAAGCCATGGTGGAAAATAATTTGTAATCCTAATCAATCAATTGATAAATATTTATGGAGGGTTTTCTTTATGTCACTAAGTGCTATTTCACTTATTCCATGCTATAAACATTCGTCCGTAGTACTAGAATGTGCTGAACAATGGAAACCTGCAAATAATTTACTCATTAATACATTTAAAAACCAACTAACTAAATATGCTATCTTATATGAAACATTGGTTGGGACTATAAAAACCTTTAGAATCCACCTTGATTTTTTTCTGACTTTTTTTCATAACCTTTTTATTTTAGAGTACTTTTGTCTTTACAAGAAAGCTGCATGGATAATACAGAGAGCCTTCATCTACCCCTTTCTCAGTTACCTGTTAACATATTATACTACTGTTAACATCTTATACTACTATGGTACATTTGCCTCAACTAAGGAGCCAACATTGGCATATAAGTATTACCTCAGCTCCACAAATTATTTTGAATTTACTAGTTTTTCCTTCATGTCTCTTTGTTATTTCTTGACGCCATTTAGGATACCACATTATGTTTAGTCATTATGTCTTCTGGTATGTGATAGTTTGTTTTATTCTATGTTATATTTTTGATGACATTGACAGTTTTGAATAGTACTGGTCAGACATTTTGTAAAATAGTCTCAGTTTGGGTTTGTCTGATGCTTTTCTCATTTTCAGACTGGGATTATGGATTTTTGGCAAGAAGACCACAGAGGTATCACATCATAACAAGGACACATTACTTATCACTCATGATGCTCGCCTTGATGATCTGATCGAGGTGGAATTTGCCTGCTTACTCCACGGTAAAATCATTCTTTGTTTTCCGCCTGTTAGTATATGTAGTTTTTGGAAGTAATTTATTAAGCACAGCCCAAATTTTAGTGGGGAGAAGAGGCAGGTGGTGTTAATTTCCATCTCTGGAGTGAAATAGATAACCAATCCACATAAATTATCTGGACCTCTTCTGTATAAGAGATTTTTCCCTTCTTCCTCATTTTATCTGTATTAGCCTTGATATTTTTTAATGGACATTAATTTTCTACTTTAGGTTTTAATCCAGTAATCTGCTTTCATTTTAGTGCTTGAATTGTTCCAGCTGAGCCATTAAGAGCTCTTTCACATTGTCTCCTGTATCCCTTCCACATCTACCAACCTTTTTTTTTTTTTTTGAGTACTTTCTTATTTTCTAGAATCCTCCTGATTTTGCTTCTGAGTTGTTCCCTAATCTTGAGCAAGTCACTTTACCCCAACATGCATTGGCATTAATTGGTTAAATTAAGTTCTTATTTATCCATTAATGGAAATCACAACATAGTGGAAAGATAAATCCATTTCAAAAATTGCTCAGGGAATAAAGAAAATGAACATAGAAGAAAAAAGCTTTTAAAAATGTACAGCTGAAAAAACAGTGTCAAGCTTATATAAAATGGAAAGAGGGAAAGGTAGAATTTAGATTACATAGAAATGAAGCAAAGCGTGGCTAATTGTTTATTGGTGGGTCCTCTAATCAAACATGCTTGCTGACTGTGGGGTACTCAGCTTTAAACTGACTGTTTTTGCAGTTTCTTGCATGGATATCATTCATGCCCTTCAGCACATAATCTACCACCACTGACAGAAATGTGGATCAGAAGCTTCAGGAAACAAGGAAGTACATGCTTTTGGCCCCCTTTGTTCAGGTGTCAGAAGAAGCTACGAGATAAGGCTCTGATCTACACAACTGACATATTGTTCCTTAGGAAATGGGACAACAGTTTAGTGAACAGCATGATTTTATTCCATTCCTACCCATGCCTATCTATTATATGTGCCATGTGTCAAGGTAGTAGCTATGGGATAGCTTTTAAGACTATGTACACTTAATACAGTAGTAAAATAAGCATAACCATCAACAGGAGGAGCCTGGAAATATTTTGGAGCCATAATACTATATTTCCCACATTAAACCAGAAATACAGGTTTCAATCTTGATGAGATATTTTAGAGACAGTTAATGGGGTAACAAGAAGATTCCCAACTTTAAAAAATCTGTTGGCTCTTTTTCTACTTTCAGAAGTAACATTAGTTCTAATATCATATTCTATTTTACTATCATTATTCCTATTTTTTTCAGTGATTTAGGGCTAAGGGACATCTAAAGAAATAGGTATAATTGGGGTGGTAGGGGAGAGACAATGGGAGGTGGGGAGGGAGGGAAGGGTGGGGAGGGATAACATGGGGAGAAATGCCAGATATAGTATGCACCAAAAGTAAAATAAATTTAAAAATATGATTTAAAACATAAAAAAGAAATAGGTACAATATACTTCTCCCCAAAGAAAGGACATATTTCTTTTGTGAGGCAAGTATATCAGGAAAGTGGCTCCAAATATTACCTGTTCAATCTTAGTGAATGCATGCTGTTAATTTGGGGACAGTATGTTAAATCTTGTGAATCACAAACATAGTATGATGTGTGGCAAGTTTGAGGCAAAAGGAGGACTGAGAATGAATGAGAGATTCCTGTACACATAGTAAGTATATCATACGTAATAAAATTATTTTACCTACCTCAAAATTTTAAAAAAGTAAGTTTTTGTTTATTATGCATGGTGGAATACAGACAGATCTGGTACAAATTTCTATTCCACTGCTTACTAGTTGTTTCACCTCACCTAAGTAATCTCTTCCAGTCTCTGTTTTCTTACCTGTAAAACCCTTTTAGAGTTAATATGAGGATTAAGCAAAATACATGTGTCATTCATGTCCTTTAGGAGCTTATCTACTACCTTGATAGGAATGTGGGTTAGGGTCTTCTGGAAAGAAAATGAATTTCTAATCATTTAAATATGTGGAAATTTCTCCCATTAATAATCAATTCTCCAGGGAGCACAAGCTGGGTATTCTATATTTTAATTCAATTCTGATACTACCTACCTGGAGATAGCATCAGAGCCCACATGGTAAGGGCTCAGTCCTATAAGACTGACCCCACTCCACAAGACTGATCCTACTTCAAATGCCAATCACAAGCCCTGGGTTGTAGCCTGTGCTTTCGAACAACCAGCTACAAATCATAGTTTCCCCAGCTACCTCCATCAGGGTACACTGATTTGCTAGAGCAGCTCACAGAACTTAGGGAAATATTTTGTTTACTATTTCTCATTTATTACTAAGGATATTACAGATGATACAGATAAACACCAGATAGAAGGGGAACATATATGGCCAGGTAGGAGCAAGTGACTGGGAGCTCTCATGCCCTCTCCAGACACAGTATACTTCATGTACCTCATATGCTTAGCATCCTAGAAGCACTCCAAAACCTGAAGTTCAGGATTTTTATGAAAGTTTCATCTTGGAGGTGGGATTGATTATTAACTCAATCTCCAACACCTGCCTCTCTCTGGAGGATGGGTGTTAGGTCTGAAAGTTTCAAGCTTCTAATCATGTCTAGGTATTTCTGGTAAACAGCCCCCAATCAGGAGCCCACCAAGAGTCACCTCATTGGAGCAAAAGATGCTCCTATTACCCAATAAACTCCAAAGAATTAGGAGCTCCTTGTCAAGAATAGAGGTCAAAAACCAGATGAAAGGACAAAAGATGTACCTAGCATCTCCCATTGCTCAGAAATAAGGGTTTTTAGGAGCTCTCTTTTAAGAACAAGGAACAGAAACCAAATATATCATTTATATATTACTATAACACAATATCACAACTACCTTACAAATACTTGCCTCAGTATTAGACCTGGGTGAGACAAAGATGTACAAATATATACTCTCTGGGTCTGAGAATTTCTCAGTCAGTCTTGCACGAAACAGCTTTCCACTCAGGTGGTTTAACTGAAAAGACTTAAATGAAGCAATATTTGAAGGGATAGAGTTAAGAAAAATCAACAGAAATGGACAGTTCCTCAAAAATAAATCTCTCTCTTTGTATATGCATCCTCTTGATTCTTTCTCTGGAGAACACTGGCTGATATAACCTTTAAACTTTCTTAGAGTTTGTTTCTTAACCTCTGGCATTCATGGCTCTTTCTAAGGCATCTAGAGTAGTTACTAATTTCTGATCCCCAGGCCTAATAATACCCAAGAAACTTTTTTTAACCTTTATTTAATTTCAAAGGCTTTTAAAACATATCTCAGATCAAACTTAGACCACTTTATACTTGCTCAATATAATATATTTATTTTTATAAAAATAATTAATTATTTTTCCATGTCTCTTAAGGGAACAAGTTAAAGTTTTGAAAATAAAGAAAAGCAAGAGGTTTAAGGGATTTATTTGTTAGAATCTTAGATAATTTTTAGATAAATTTTAGAATGCTATAAGTTTCTTGAAAAAACAGTCTCTTGGAGGTAAGAAATTTTATCAAATATCTTTGGAAAAATAAGTTCCAGGAAAATATTATCTTTCTATAACACAGACTCACATTATTTGTTCCTGGAATAAATTCTAAAGTCCTTCACAGTCCTTGGTTCTATCAAAAGCCTTATATACAGGTACTCTTATAGTCTTCTGTGACAAAGACACTGTTGTTTAACATGAAGCCTTCTTGGCCATCTGATGACATGTGGCTAACTCATAATTGACTTTACCAACATCATTATCATTTACATCTTTGAAATTATTGATCTCCTATATTTAATATTTGGCTCAGAGAAGGTATAAAATATATATTTGGGAATTGGGAAAGAAGGAAGTAAGTAGGCAAGATATAATATTTAGCAACATTTGTAAGAAAGCTAATTGGTCTACATGCTTAAAGGGACTCTTCCTCTTCATTTTCCCTCCCTCACAGGGATCTGGTCTTGGGAAGGCATATAGGCTGGAGTGCAGTGGTGTGATCTCAGCTCACTGCAACCTCTGCCTTCTGGGTTCAAGCAGTTATCTGCCTCGGTCTCCCAAGTAGTTGGGATTACAGACACCCACCACCATACAAAGCTAATTTTTGTATTTCTAGCAGTGATGGGGTTTTGCCAGCTTGGCCAGGCTGGTCTTGAACTCCTGACCTTGTGATCCACCTGCGTCAGCCTTCCAAAGCGTTGGGATTACAGGTGACAGCTACCACGCCCAGCCTCCCTCATGATTTGTAGTCAGTGATTAGAACGGTTTTGATCCATCACTGTTGGAAGCATTCATTAATCTGTCACTGATAGTTTGCATAGAGAAATGATGGCATTCTTTAAAAGGCAGAATTGGAAAATAGCTTAAGGAGATGTTCATGTAAGATGTTTTTGTTCAAAGACATGAAAATTTGGCTGTCATTATTGAGTAACTTGGTGAAGCAGGGAAGCATTGCTTAAAAGTACCTAGCCATTCTCATAGGCCTTCCTGACCTTGTCTAATAGTTCCCTAATGAGACTACTGATAAAATTGCAGTCTGGTTTTTCAAGTGTGCCAAAGCTCCTAATAGCCCCCTCAGCTCTCAAATGCAGGACTTTCTAGTTTGTCTTCTTGATTCCCTTTCCTCTAGCTTTTGTCTGTTCAAAAACTCTGCCTAGCTAACCTTGAGAAAAGTAATTATGCGCTCACTATTGATTAGGAAGGATCCATATTTAATTATGTGTAACATGTTTCACTATCAAACTTTCAGCTTAGCTCACGAGTGCCTAGCAAGTCCTATTGCTATGTGCTACAGCAGCCATTTGGTTAATGATCTTTCTTACAAGGTGCTGAATTTTCCCCAGTTCTTGTATTTTATGAAAAATTTCATCATATCTTAAGGTCATGGTTGAACCAGTTCATAATGTCTTCCTTAAAGAATGTTTCTTTAATGCAAAGAAAATCATTGTTGAGCACAATGTACGTGTTTTGTAGT